GGACTACTGAGACATCCAGCCTTGTGGACTGAACGACTATGGATTCTCAGCCTCTCTAGTGTGGTGCAGCCATTGTTGGACTACTCGGACTCTATCCTGTGAGCTAAGCTGATAAACCTCTATACATATATATTCATTCTACCAGTTCTGTTTCTTTGGAGAACCCGGACTAATACAGTGGGGGAAGCATGGCAGCAGGTAGCCAGAGCAGGAAGCTGAGAGATCACATCTCCAACCACAAACAGGAAGCAGAGAAAGAAAACGGGAAGTGGTGCGTGGCTATAAACTCTCAAAGCGCACCCCCAGTGACACACTTCTTCCAGCAAGGCTCTACCTCCTAAATTTCCCCAGACAGTGCCACCAAGTGGTTAGAAATGTGAGTCTTTGGGGCCATTTCTTTTCAAACCACCACAAACATGTACTATAATTCTTTCAATATAAAAGTTTTAAAACCTAAAAAATAAAGCAACATGTGGTTTAGGGTTGCAATTAGAAAAGTGGAAAAGTGAGGGAATAATTGCAAAATTATGGAGTAGTCAGAAAAGAAACGGATCTGTAATGTTATAAACGATTATAAAGGTATGTGGGGATGCATGCATATCATCCCAGCGCTTGGGATTGCCAAAAGTCCAAGGCCAGCCAAGACTGGATAGCAAGAGATTGTCTCAACCAAGGGGTGAAAAGGTCACATGGAAAATTCTTTTTAAACTGATTAGTAAGTCCATAGATTTCATCATGTCTTGATACTTTGTTTATATCGTGTGTGTGTGTATGTGTGTTCTATATCAGTTAAGCATTTAACTTAATTTTTAAATTCAAATTCATGTATGTTCATATGTGTACACTTATTTAAACAAAACATGAACATTTAAATATAAAATCTTGGAGTCAAATGAGATTCAATGATTTACTCATCAACTAGCAGAAGTGGTATTCCATACCAAATTCTTAACATACTGGACTTTTTTTTTCTCTACAGATGGTAGATACATAAATATCTCACAACTAAGGACCAGTTTCTGAGAGCCCTGTTAATAGACAAAGGCTAATTTTAATAAATTTGGTTTGACTCTTAAAGAAAAAACCATGCATTATTCCAATCAGCTATGCTTTTCTAGACCTTAAAGAGCTATACTGTTATTTTCTAGAAGGGATATAGAACTTTTAAGCACACTATTGAAAATCATGAGAGAATATTTGTATATAAATTAAAAGTAATGGGAAAGTGAAACTAAACAAGGAAAGTTTAAGACAAAATATCAGAGTGATGTCAAAGAATGAGATTATCTGTTCTTTGCTTTAGACCCTGGACACCAGTGCTTCTCCAAATTTAATGTACTTATGCAACAACTGGGGACCTTGATGAGACACAGATGCTAAGTCAGTAGACTTTTGTGGCCCAGAACTGCAGTTCCAACAAACAGCCGCTAAGCTGTTTCAGTACTGCTGATCCACCTCCCACAGTTTGAAGCAAAGATGCAGTCACATCCTTCATACCTCTGAACAAGTCCAGATTACCTGATGTTTCTTGAGAGGGGCCGCATTTGTACCTGCATTTAAAGAGGGTTCTTTGGTTACTTTTTACAAACTTTGATAATTGTGCTCACTTATCTAAATTCCTGAATGAATATATGTCTAAGTATATTCAAGGGTAATCCCTATTTTTGAGAGGAGGGAAAAGGAATCAGAAGGCAGTGAGCTAGATGGAACAGGGAAGAATACATGGAAGTAGAAAGGAGATACCACAGGCCATGAAGACAAAAGCAAGATGAAGCAATCCCAATCTGTGAGCAACGGAAATGTGGGATGCAGCTTCTCTGAGCCCAGCATCACAGCTAATTTCATTAGCCCTTCTGGATCTCATGCAGTATGGTCTTTTAAAAGTTAAGTATCTTTCCTGTCAAGAGGAGAGGGTAATGGAGAAGAAACTGGGAAATTGAAGGATTGTACTCTAATCTGGATTTTGTATTAGTCTACATTTAATTTTCGACAGTTTTTCCTGGTCCCATTTAATTTGCATCACCCAGCAATTCTCCCCAAGAGCTTATTCTTTTCTCTCATGGCACCTTCCATAATTTGAGACATGTTGAATTGTGACTTTTTTTTTTTTTTTGCTTGTCTACTTAGATCACAAACTTCATAGTAAGGGTCAAGACTATTCTGCTAACTAGTATCTGTTAGTTCATAGGAGGAGGAAAGCATAACAAATTTTTTAGTCTTGCCTGCAATGTTGGAGCCCATCCAGATTCTTCACTGAGGTCCCACATGGTGGGGTGCCCAGCCTGCCTTGCCTGCTGCTTGAATCAATGCGCATACATTGCCTTGCTTTAAGTTCCCAGTAACCACTGTTGACAATGGCATACTCAGGCTAGGAGTTCTTGTAAGGAAATTGGCCCTCAAGGAAGAGAAAACCAATGTGCTCTGCTCCCAGTTCTTTATACAGCAACCAGTGTGGTATAAATTCAATAAATGCTATGAAATGAATTAAATTCATGAAGGATTCCAAGTGAATAATGTCTTCTGTAAAATTTAGATATGTGCTCTTTGGGAGGAAGGCTTTCTACAGCTACCTCTGTAAATTCCTCTATTAGACCCTATGGGGTGTGGATGCTGTCCAATCTTCCCAGCCAATAGACCTCACTTTGAGGTAAAAATATGCCAACTAAGGCAAACAATCAAGATCAGCATAAAAAAACTAGATCTCATCCTGCTACATATTAAAATAATGGGAAAACATTTTTAAAATGCTGTGTGGGGCTACAGAGATGGCTCACTCATTAATAGCACTTGCTGTTCTTGCAAAGGACTTGGGTTCTGCTCCCAGCACCTACATGGTAGCTAACAACCATCCTTAACTCCAGTTCCAAGGGATCCAATGCCCTCTTCTGGCCTCCACAGGCATTGCATGCCTGTGGTATGCTTAATACTTGCAGGCAAAACACTCAGACACATACAGTAAAAACTGATTATTTTTGCTCTGTGAGTTCAAGTCCAGCCTGGTCTACATAGCGAGTTCCAGGCCAGCTGGGGCTACAGGGAAACCCTGTCTCCAAAAGACCAAAAAAAAAATTTTTTTAAATGCTAATTTGTGACCATAACTCGGCCATAAAAGTAATGTCTTCTGAAGATGGAACACAGGTGCTTCCCAAACCTATCCGGTGGTTCTAACAGGCAGCCTGAGTAGCACTTAGCCTGACCCAGCCATGGCAATCCATTTCTTCCTTTCCCTGTGTTTTGTTTAAGCATATGCATTGTATGATTCCTTGAAATACAAGAAGATAGCTGAGGTGTTCTAGAAAAGATACTCTTGTCCTGAAAATAAAGGAGAGGTTCTTAGGGCATGGAAGGCCTTTTGCTATGCCCTTTGGGGATGCTGAGACATGGGGAATAGTAAGAGCTGTGGCAGCTCTAATCTCAAAGAGACTGGCCAGCAGAGCAAAATTGCAGAAGCTGCCTACCCGAGTGTGCCCGACCTAGCTTTCTTGTATGAGGTCAGTCACTATTTTTACTATTTAACCCAAAGGTCATGAGGTTTTCTATAATTTGGATATAACCCCTTTTCCTTCTTAGAATGTAATTTTA